ATATATATATATTTATATTTATATATATATATATATTTATATGTATGTATATGTATATATATATATTTTTTTTAAGACTTTAGGAACAAATGTTGAAAAAAAATATGATAAGCATTGTTGATCTGCATGCCCAGGTGAGTTGATCTGAGCTGGGAGAGTTCTGGAATAGGACAGCATGAGATTACAGAATGTTATTGGATTAGTAATCCAACTTTTATCTAACACCTAACAAAACATTGTTGCAGTGGCTCCATTTAAAAATTTAAAAATTATATTGCTTCCCTTTGCATTAAATTGTGCTTCCCTGCCCAGAAATCTTTTCCACCATTAATATTATTCAACATCTTTTATTTCTATGAGTCAAAATAAGTCCACATGTTCACAGGCTTCCTCCCCATCATCTGCCATTTGGCCAATTACTCCTCTATGGCCACAACAATAGCCTTTATTATTGACTAAGAATTTGCAGCTGTCTTTCTAATAATCTGTATTTATAAATATTATGCTGTGATTATTTTCAGATTTAATAAATTACTTTGCAGGTTGAGAGTTAAATCCTTATAGGAATATGAGCTTTATTACTATGAAGAAACACATGCAATAAAGAGCTCCGATCACTTTACACATGCAACTCAAATTGTACCTGGTTTGATGATCACTGTCTCGCATTATTCTAATAGACAATGACGTACAGCCGATTGTAAAACTGAACAAAGGAAATTTTCTTTTATGTTTGCAGAAAATGTACAACTTCATGGCCTCTGTGAAATGTATGTTGAGTAGTATGGGTTAACATGTTTAATCTCAAATGAATATGACCAAAGTCTGACGACTAGATGTAATAAACATAACAGGAAATAGCTGTTGCGCTCCCTGCTGAGTAGCTCATCTGGGAAACCTTAAGACTTGGGACGGAGACTCACCAACAGTTGCCTCACAGAGCCAAGGTCTCCCTGCCAGGCAGCCTGCAGTAGTTGCATCTGTGGGGACAAATGGGGCCTCTTCATCCACCTCACCATTTTCTCCTGGAGCACAGCTGGGCTGATGTGGAGCGCTGTCTGCTCTCTGTGGTTACACAGAGTCAGGTCAGCGTCGGCCCTCAGCAGCCCCTGCACCACCTGTTGAGCACATCAATAAAAATGATAAAAGTGTATGTATCACACAATCAATGTAAGGACAGATGACAATTTAAATTGATTCTCGAGGTAAGAGGGAATGTGTTTGATCTTGAATTTTTTCTTTGCTTTTCTTACAGTTTCAGCAGCTACTTTCTCTTTCTATCAGTTTGCTAATAATACTGTAAATCTTTTACTACTTTTCAAATGATCAAACAATGGATAGATTTAGTATTTAAACATGCTCTTTTCATTTACAAAAGCAGAATAAAAATAGCTTTAAAATAACCTAAAACTATGTAAAACTTAGCAATAGCTGTTCATATGACCCTTTTGTCTGTGTGTCATCAGGTGCCAGGCTGAACCAGAAGCATAAAAACATCCATTATTTTTGACAAATTTATTTTTCGAGAATAAATGGTGTTTAATTTGGAAAAATGACCGATATTTCTCTTACATCTGTCTTTGAACCATTCTTGACGAATGTCAGCCATGACACCGTAGGTCACCTGATACCTTCCACTGTAAACTCCCACCTTCTGGTCGCAGCAAAACAAGCTTAGAGCTTTAACGTATTTACTACTATTGTGCGCTGGCTGTTTCCATGCAACTTGTTTTTGTCATGTGTTTTTTAAAGGTATGTTTAATGCTGCCATAGCAACCAGAGATTACTGCAGCTACAGACCGGTCTGGAAAATATTGTCAGACATCAAACCGGTCCATGGGCCACTAGTTCATAGATTGTCTGTTATAGACTAATTTTAGGATTTAAGAATAAACTCTTAGATCTTGCCTCTCTATGCTGATTTTATGACTTTAATTAGGCCCACATTGGTACCAACTACAAGTGTTTATATTTCCAGTTTCACTCTCAATGCCTTCATTAAAGTAGTTAGAGAGACTACCTCATGGCACCAGGAAGTCATCTTCAACATGACTCCCAAAGGATGGGATGCACAGGTGGAGCTTAAATAACAACAAGCGAATCATGTGACACACACACTACATGTGCATAAACAGCTGCTGTTGTTGTTGAGAGGAAAATTACTGGCTGTCATGTGACAACACTATTTATCCAACCAAACTATTTTTAAAAAGCTTTAAAAAAATAATTTTAAATGTAAAGCACTAGTTTACTACACATATAACTACGTATCTCTGAAGCTCACCTCTGAATTATTGTTTCGACAGGCAGCGAAGAGGGCCTCACGTGTCGGTTCTTCTTCATCATCAGTGTCAGATACCGCCAGCACATCCAGGATCTCCAGTTGTGGTCCTAAACCCACCTGATAATTTTCTTCCTCCTGCTCTTCTCCCTGCATAATATCATCTTCCCTATGAGTACAGTCTCTGCTCTTCTTCTCGTCCGTAGCCCACATGCTCCAACTTAAACGAGAGAGAGAGCAAAATTGAAAGAAAGAGATCCAGAACTAATATCTAGAAGGAATAAGAATGATTTTGCTGTTCGGTGTTTGGCAGTCTGTATGTTTGTGTAACTATAGCTTGTGATGCCAGTCCCTAATGATCTACTGGTGCCCACAGGGAACAGACAGAAGGCGTGACTGGAAATACATCCCTCATTATAACTGTTGTGGCATCACCATAAACACATCATTGTCCATAGATGAGCTTATCTATAGATGACAGCTTATACGCGTGAATGGATGAGCTCTTGGCTAGAGCTCATTTTAATTTATCAGTATTTTAACATCTATTTATTATGTTATTCAGTGTATTTAGTAATTCTGCCTGACTATTAGATTTACAGGTTAAAATATGCCTGCAGCATTGGTGGTATAATTCTGTGAATGAGATCCACATGCAGATATAGTCATATGTCCTTTATTAACTAAATATCCTAAATAAGAGCTTAAAACACAAAATAACTTATGAGACAACTATCAACATTAAACTGCATAATTTTTCAAATTTAATAAGTTTGTAGGTAGTACAGTTTAACATTTAAACAGCTATAAAATATGACCAACATAATATATATATTTTACTTACACTTGCCTCTCTTGCTTCAAACTATAAATAGGCCAGCTGTGTGTCTCATCTGGGCTTCTGTAGGCATTTATCAAACAAACCTTTCAGCTCTTTTTAGCTGACTGTCCTTTCAAGCAATGCCTCTTTCCTTGTTTTTTCACCCTGCATGCCTTCTGTCGTCCGTTTACACTTGGTTGCCTTGGAGACAGTTGACAGACAACAATTGACATGAGTGCTTTTTTTTTTAATTACCAAAGGCTGTTTGCTACCCAACACTTTAAATAAAAAAAACTTGATTTTAAAGGTTCCTGACTTAAAGCTTTGCCTTCTTCACATTCGTTTATGTTAAACACATGAATTTAAAGAAGCAGGTAATAATTTACAATGCTGTATTAATCATCAACGTACAGCTTGGTTTCTTAAAGAAACATTTTTTCACATTCATGTTTTCTTTGACAAGCAAATGTTTGCTGTTCTAATAATTTCATACAATCCCATTTGCATCAAATTTTTTTATTTGAGTTTAATATTATGATTGATATAATAACAGTTTGATAACTATCCCATTCTACATATAGTATTAAATACTTTTTTTTTAATCAGATTATGGAGCCGTAGAAATGTCTTTCAACTGTGGTCATTAGGTCATACAGGTGGTTGCAATAAATTATAATATCACTGAGTAGTTCATTCATTTGTATAATTCAATTCAACATTTATATAGTACTAGCGATATATCTAAAGCATGTAATTGTCTTAATTTTGATCATTATAATTTATAGAAACCACAGATTGTGTTTTGCAAAGATTAGAGAATTACACAAGACCTCGAAGATAAATTTCGGTGTAGAAATGTTTGGTTATGATCTACAAACTCCTGGGCCAGAGTGTTAGCTTTACAGTTTTCAAGCAGATGGTCTCAGATGGCCTCCACATGGTAGGTAGGTTATAAAAAGTGATGAATAAAGAAACTTGCTTTTGAAATTTCAACTTTTCTTAGTATTATGATGTTAAGTGTAAGGAAATAATCTGTAGCAAAGGTGAATGAGCAACAGGGATAGTTTCTATTGCACTAATAGGGATGGTGGATATGTTATCTATCCTCTGCTTATGGAAATGTTAATTTTCTTTACTTACATAATATTTACTTACTGCCCAAACTACTAACACCTACTGTAATGAACATGGTATCGCTGTGGTTGATTGGCCTGCAAATAGTGTTGCCCTAAACCCTATAGAGATTCTAAAGTAGTTTGCTTGCATAAAGAAAGATTAGAGAAACTAAAGTTAACAATGCTAACAAACTAAAAGCTTTCAGACATTGTCTGGGGGACAAATTAGCAACACAAATGCTTTAAAACTAAAGTTTTTTTCTAAATTCTACATAGTAAACTTACTGTAACAGATTTAATTATTGTTTGTTGTTAGTTACACATGGGCTAATGCTTGTCTTTAAGGAAGCTTTGAATGCATGAGGGATTCATAGAAGAAATGCTTCAATAAATCAAAACTTTTGCTTGAACATGGTCGGGTTTCAGAATGTAGAGAAGCAAGGACTGAAAAAACTAGAAAAAGCTGTTTCGGAGAAACACACTCCACAGAAATTTTCTGTGGAGTGTGTTTTGAAAACCCCCTAGAGTCTCATTTTTAAAAAAGTGGTTGAGTTTGGGTCATAATGTTTAGCCATATGCTGGGGAAAAAATATGAGTTTAATGTAGGGGCTTTTATTTTGAAGGGTCCCCGGAGTCTTATTTTGAAAGTCTATCAGGGTTGCGTGTGAAGGGAAGGGACATGGCCAGTAGTCATATTGTATCCATTTCCAAATGTTAAATCAGTGTTGTCTCCCTCCATTAGATTAAAATGTGCTGTTTAAAGTGGCAGAGGTAAAATCCCTTTGAAGCTCGGTTACCTTGACAACGCTTAACGAGCCTCTCAGGGAAAGAGAGAAAAGCGCTTCACTTTCGTTGCTTTCCTCTCAGGCTTTTTTGAATGGGAATATCAGCTCCGAACAAACGAGTGCTGAAGACAAACCGTAAATGGTATCTAAAAAATTCTTTCAGTCTAAGTGAGAGCTATCCTTTGTCTCCGATTGGGGTAACTTTCATGGCTGTAGCTCATTCACAGCCTTAATGGGAAGGAGGAATAAAAAGGTTTGAGAAATCCTGCTGGTCTCATTGAATAACATGCAGCACAATGGTAGAGCAGAACTCTCAAAAGCAAAACTTTCCCTGCGAACAAACGAGCGGTGAGCCAAAACCGTAAAAGGTATTCAAAAAATTATTTCACTGTTGGCGTCAGCCATCCTTCGGCTTCGACTGTGCCAACTTTCATGTTTCTACTAAAAACTACTTGGCCACGGTGACAATGTAAAAATTAGCATTTTTTGAGTTTTAGGATTTTTCTCAGAATCAGCGTTTTCCTATGCCCGAACAAGTCAGCTAAACAGCTAAACCATAAATGATATTGAAGAAATTCCTTCAATGTGAGTGCTAGAAGGTTCTGACGATGTTGTATACCAAGTGTCATGTTAGTACATCAAATAGTTAATAAATGGGAGCAATACGAAAATATGTATCCTTTTGGATTTTGTCTGTGATTTTTGGAAAATCTCTCATTGGATTTCTATTGGGGAAGTGTGGACTTCTTCATGGTCTGGGCCAAACTGTCAGAAAACCGTAAATGCCACACAAATGAGGGTTATATTTCCTGAATCCTGACAAAAATCCCTACGTTTTGATGTATAATTTATTTCAACTGAGTGAAAAATGAGTGAGTGAGAACAATTGGTTTGGAAAAACCAGAACAGCTCAAAAGCTAGAGCACGCACTCTAGCAGTTGAAGAATTCCGTCCATAGACTTCCATTATAAATCTGAAAATCTTTAAATTTTCTTTTAAAGTTTGAAGCTTCGCTGAAGCAAAACTGTAAAAGTTAGCAAAAAGCTGAGTTAAACAGTAATAGCAGAAAGATACGGAAACATTTTAAAAGTTGAATGGTGTTTGTAGCTGAAAGTATGCTGAAGTAGTTAAAGGTCGAAGATGATAAAGTTTTAGCTGAATTTTGCTGAAATCTAAGAATTCTACATGCATTTCAATGGGACAAAAAAAACACAGAAAAAGCAGAACAACGCGAAAACTACAAAAAATATCTTTACCAAAAGACATACCACAATTCTCCTGAACAAGCTGAACGTTTTGATACCAAAATTGTTGAAATCGGTTGAAAACTGCGGGACTAGTTAGAGTCAGAAAAATTTAAAGTGAACAACAATAAGTGGGAATGCATAAGCATTCCCACTTGATAAACCTTCATTAAGATGGCCACAAAAGACTAGAAGAAAGTTGGGCTTTTTGAAAGAAAAACAAGTGATGAGCGAGAATTTTATTTATTTATTTATTCAAGTCATTTTATTATGAAAGAAAGCCATTAGACTTCAAAAACATATTTTGATTAGTGTTGAAGATTTAAAGAGAAAGCCAAGCTTATTTATATTGCACATTTCAGAGGCAAGACAATTCAAAGTGTAGTACACGAAAACTGAAACACAAAAGGAAATCACACAGAGAAAAGTACATTGCATCGGCATAAAGGTCATTTAATAATTGATAAATAGCATGAAAGAGAGATTGACTACAAACTTAACCCAATGATATTTAGAAAACACTGGAAAAAGCCACTCTAAACAAATACATTTATATCTTAATTCAGATCAAATTACAGTAGAGTTTAAGCACGTTTACAGTTTCTGAGCTTGTTCCAGATCAGTGAAGCGTATGAACTAAAAGCTGCTTCTCCATGTTTGTTTCTGGGTATTCAAGTAGATTTTAGCCAGAAGACCTGAGAGGTTTTGGTGGTTTATACACAGACAAAAGGTCAGAGATGAATTTCTAAGCCTTTTTGTGATTTTTAGACTAACAGAAGTATTATAAATAAAATTCTCTAAGATACAGGAAGCCATTTTACAGACTTTAGAGCAGGGGTGTAGTGCTTCACTTTTTAAGTTTTAGTGAGGATGCAGGCAGCAGTATTCTCGATCAATAAGCGATTTCAAAGTAAGCTAAACAATTATTCCATCTGCGTTAGAATAATTTCATACAAACAGGCCACTATGACAAAATTACACCACATTAGAAAAAATATTTTCACACTTTATTTCTTTCCAATATATGTAACACACCCACACACTGTGGTACACAAAGGTGTTTGGAAGAGAATAATGTACAAAACCCTTTAGATGAGTCATTGTTGAGATGAATTCAGATGAAAAAAGCCTTTTGACACTGCAGGCTCAAAACAAACTGCAGTCAAAGCAGGGCAGGGTTTCTATACTTTTAAAATGGCGTACAAAGCAATCTCTTTTCAGCTGAAGTTGAAAAGTCTTAAACATCTTTTAAATACTGCGCTTGTGACAATAGAACAGCACCAGTCTCTTTGTGCTTCCACACAATAAGTGTGTAAACAATAGACTCCATACATTTATTTATTAGAGACTGAATTTAGGGAGTTGTCTTTGAAACCAGCAAAGCACTCTGATACCATGTTACATACATTAAAAGTTAAAATATAACAAGCACTTAATATTTTTGCTTTGTCAACCATTTTAACAAAATCTCACATCAGATGACATTGTAGTATTAACTTTTTGCCTTGCATTTATATAATATGCAAATTAAGTATTGAACTCAATGCATTACACAGGGATCATGTTCACTCTTTGTTCTTATTAAAAAAATAAATAAATTGTGAACAAATTGAAACATCAATACACACAGGAGCATATGACACACACAGGCACAAGATGGCAGTATTTCACCATTATAAACATTTAATTCCAGGAGGAAAGCAGAACAAAACATTGGATGTCTTCACACATCACATACAAGTGAATCAAAAACTTAAATTATTATTTTTTTTAAAAATTACTATATAGTCACATTATAAACAGTGAAATACTGAATCCCTTTATTTTAGTGAGTATAGTTAAGGCATAGTACAAAGAAGTACAATGTGGTATCACAGAACAAAAATGTCACATATGGGTTTTTCTTTATTCGGTTATGTAATGTTTTGGCCATATATAGACTTATACATTCATAAAAAAAAAAAAACATATTTATGATTTAAAAGCTCTTCTGCAATCATTGACAGCCCAATAAAGGGGGCACACCAAATAATCATTTCTATTCTGATTTAATAAAACCTCTTCTACATTCTTTTGTCAGCATATAATAAAGTTTTGTCAGTAAACTTTATAAGCTGAATGCAAATCCACATATGAAATCACGCTGGAAAATCTGGCCTAAAAATCCATATTTTCTCAAAATGCCTAGAAGCAAAGAAATGAGCAACTTAAGAAGCAAATCGGCTTCACATTTAACCTAAGAGAGGGAAATGGTGGCTTTTAAAAAACATTCAAAGCCTCTTCTGATCTTGAACTTCCAAGTAAATAAACCCCAGCACTCTCCAGTTGAACGGGTAATGAAAAATAAAAAAGATTGAAGAAAATAAATATGAATAAAATAGACTGTATTTTTATGGAAGAGGGGATATAATTATTTGGGCTTGTTTTGCAGCCAAGCTACTCGTGCATATTGTAGCCTTTGCATTATGAACTTCTCTGAAGGACAGTTTAAAACATCTGAAGTGTAGATAAGTCCAGGACAATAAAGACTATATTCAGCATGCTATTTTCATTGTTTTGCTTGTGTTTAAGTTTTCTTTTTGAGTTTTTATTGGTTTTATTTCCATTTGGTGTTATTGTAGTTGTCTTTGGTTATATTTGAGTTCTTATGCACTACTATTTTACCCTCTGTTGCCCTCTTGTGTCAGCCTATTGCTCCCTTCTAGATGATTCTGTCCACACCTGTTCCTTGTCTGCTAATTAGTCCTCCCATTGTTTCTGTCTCCCATATATACACCTCCTGTTCAGTTACTTTTTGCTGGTTCCTTGCAGTTCTTGGCTCCTTGTGCGTGTGTTTTCCTGATGTCTCTTGATATTTTGGTTTTCTGTATTTTGTTATTTTAGATTTTTTCTCCTTCTGCCATTTTTTGGGCTGTTAAATCTGCAAGAAGCCACCCCAGCTTCCATCTCTGCATTTGGGTCCCCTAAAAACCTCCACTCAACCCGACAGCTATAGTGGTTCAGTCAAAGTTACCAGGTGCATCATTATATCATTATAACAATGATTTATTCCATGCTTGAGAGGTGTATTTTACACATTTATTTCAATTTGGATGATTATAGCTCTCAGAAAATAATGAAATTATTCTGTTTAACTAAAGGAGATACAATATATACATACACATTCGGACATGTAGGCTATACTGAAAAAATAGGTTAGTGTACAGTGCCAGTGCAGACTATTTTCTGGCCCCCTTATTGCATAAATTACAGCGTCATTGGAGAAGATCACCCTGTGGCTACGTTGAGGCACTAAGAAGGTCCTAGATGCTTTCATACATGTGCTGCAAGGAAATTAAATCAGCATCTCCATAAAGCTTGTCAGCATGGAGAAGCATGAAGAAGCTTGAAGGGCTCTAAAATTTCCTGCTTGACAGCTGTTCTGACTTTGGAAGTAATGAAACACAGTGGAGCAACACCAGCAGAGGAAAAGGCTGCTCACTGGCTGCAGAAACATCATGCTGGACCTCAACTAATTTATATTTTGCACCTCTAGGCTGCTCCTTCACTCTAGGACCTTGTTTTTAAATGAAATAGAGGATTAACTCCGATCAGAAAAGAGGACTTTGGACTCAGCACCAGTGGTTTCTGGCTGATCCATGTCCTGGATACCTGTGGAAGCAGTGACTCCTGAAGGGGGCTTTCCCTCACAATCCTGCTGTGTGTGTGTGTGTGTGTGTAAAGCTTTTTCTACTACACTGTTTTCCTCCACTTATTTTTTCAGAAACAGGCATGAATGCACTTTTGTGGCCCACTGTTCAACAAGAAGAGTCCCTGATAATTATTCAGAACATTTGACTTACACAACATAATATTTCTCTATCTACAGTAAACTAAATGGATTATTCTTAGCTATATTAACCAAAACTGCTTCTCATCAGAAAAACAGCGTTTTGACATAAACGTCTGAAGTGTCAGTGTGTAACAGTGAAACTTTTTAAATTTTTTTAAAAGTATTCTACTGCAATTAATGAACTTTAGAGATTCACAAAACCGTTTTAAAATACTGTGAAGAGATTGGACTGAAAACCTCAATAAACTAAAGAAAGCCCCAAAATCTTCCATAACAAAGCGATGGATTAGATTTTTAAAGACAAAGAAAAGGCAAAAGTACGGAAGAGGATTGGGGCCACTGAAAAAATAATAATAAAAAAATAAACTGATTTTTAAACTCTATTTCAATTTAATATGGGGAAAAACATCAGAATTCTGACTTTTCTCAGAATTCGGACTTTAATCTCAGAATTCTGACTTCTTTAGAATTTTGACTTTAATCTCAGAATTCGGACTTTTTTTCCTCAGAATTCTGACTTTAATCTTAGAATTTTAACTTTTTTTAAATCAGAATTCTGACTTTTGTCCCATACTAAACTGAAATAAAAGATTAAAAATCTGTTAACTTTTTTATTTTTTTCAGTGGCACTAATTCTCTTCCGTACAAAAAAGTAGAATAACAAAACAAAACAAACAAACAAAAAAAAAACTAAGTGAAATTAGGGATGATGCCAGGGATTCCTTTTTTTATTCTTCAGGAACTTCCAAATGATTTGTGTCGGACTTTTTAAAACACTTCAACATTAGACCAGATAAGCAGTTGGAAGGTATTAGTAGCAGTTGATTGCCTCTACCCTCCCTCACTCTGTCATTTGTCGGGTCAGGGCTGCCGCTCAGCCCGGTCTCTCTCTCGGTTCCACTGGTGCCATGCAGGCTGACGCGTCCCGTTGCGCACAGTAACACCGCATATAGTTTCCACACCCTAACCTCGGGAGATCCAGTAGAAACCTTCTAACTTAACCACTCGACACGTTTCATGCGGGGATGACTCACGGTCCGTGAGAGAAAGAAAAACTCGGGGGGAAGTGGACGCGCTGCGGGAGAAGCAGGGACGAGTTCTGGCTTTCCTCTGAGCAGTTTGCACAAGGTGTTGCAGCGGAGGCTCCTGTGGGCGAATTTGATGGATTCATTTACCGGCAGCTACTTTATGATGTTTGCATTTCATCTTTGAGTTTTCGTTGGATCCTCTCCCAGCCTCCTCTGAAACTTCTCTCGCTTGATCATTTCGGCAAAGACAGGATGGAGTCGCGCGTCGGCTCAGCTCTGCAGAAATATCTGCTGCTGTGGTTCATCATAGGTGAGTCTTCCTCAGCCTACCTGCTCTAACAAACACATTAGGACCATATGCATGCAGTGCAAAGGTTTGGAGGATCCAAAGAATTTACTGAACAGATAAAACACTGGTCTGATGCGCTTCATTGTCTAAAAATCTTCATTTGGTTTATTATACAGGTGTATGTTTTTTTTTTCTTAGGGGTGGAAGAAAAATAGTTAACAAAGCTTTGAAAAAGTACTTATAGCCCTATGAGTTACTCTATGTAATCAGGCCAGACCCTGAATCCTCAATTTACAAGTGGATTGAAAGAGTTTCTCTTTTTTTTTTTTTTATTTAAAACGGAATGTGGACATGTATACATTTAACTGAACTATTACAGTGTTCTAGAATTGCTCTATATATCCCTGCATCTCTGTCCAAACCTATAAAGAAATATATCCCCACAGCATGACACAGACATTACTTTGTTTTATGGTGGAGATGCAGTGTAATCTGTTCACTTTGGTCTAACATCAGCAAATTGTCCCCTATGTGGTTTGTGGAAAAATTCTAACTTTTTTATGGCTTTCTATTTACCATTATTTTCTTTCTTTCCTTTTTCCATAAAGTTCACATTTTACGAGGGCATTTCTGTCAGGAGAGCTGCAGCTCTTCTAGAGCTACTGAAAAGGGACTCTCAGCTGGATTAATACGCTTCTTACCCGATGTATCGGTCTAAGTGGACAAATATGTCTTTGTGGGCTTAGAGATGTGGCTTAACTACTCTTTCCATATTCGGATGATATATTTAGAAGTGATCCATAGGATGTTCATCACTGGTCTTATTAGATTTGTTACATAACTTTCGTTTAAACTTTAAAAAGAAATCTAATTTTCATCTCTATCTTCTCTGGTTTGTTCTTTGGTCTTAACGTTGTTGTTTGTTCACTAATTTCCTGTAATTCACACATGAAACCTTTGCAAGACATTTAAACTACATACAGGTCATGATTGTGTACATAAATGCCTTATGCAGGTAAATAGTTTTAGGATTTTATTATCAGGATGTCAGATATTAAGTGGCCAAAAGAGATTGTAGACCACACTTTAAAGTATATTATTTGTAAACAAAAAAACAAAACAAAACATTTTGAATGGTATATATATTTTATAATAAACTTAAAATCAAATACATGGAAACTAAATTTTGTAATTAGACAACAGATCGGTAAGCGATGCTTCTGTTTGGCACTGTAATAAGCTATGCAGAAATGCAGGAATAAACATGCATGATACGCAAGTTTGTTATGCAAACCTTAAAATACCTAATTCATGCATTTCTTCTGCAAAATACCTAAGTAATGATTTATTTTAAGGAGGAAATGCATTTTTAAGAAGGGATTGGCAGAGACATTCAGCATGCTGTTTGTTGTGTAAAACACAATCATCTTTGTTTAAACTGGATCATAGCAAGGTTGTTAGGCTATGATGCTATTTCAGGACGGACTTGGACTCACCTAAATGTTTGCAGAACACCATATGTGTAGGAAAACCTGTCATGTTTAAACATAAGAGGCAGGGATTCTCTTTAGCCCAATTTAATTGATTTTAACCAGATGTGCAGTAAAATAAAAGCCTTTATGGACACATTCCATTGCGTTGTTTCTTGCTCTATAAAAATATCTATTTTACATACATACAAAACAACATACTGTATCCAAAACATTGGTTTAATTTTAAAGGCTTAAAACATTTCAGTAATATCCTGAGCGTACACCTTAGCCCCAAAAAACACCTTTAAGTTATGACATTGGGGTTACATTTTACCCAGTCCTGAAGTTTTATTTTGTTTTTATTATACAGAAATTAGTTTGTCGTGTATTCCTGTTTAGAGCCATTTATTTAGTTGAAATCAGTAATACTTGTTGAAATGTAGGAATTCCACAAAACCTGGAAAAGGTATTGACAACAGATACTTTAGCAGCAGCGAGAAAGTACATCATGTACATCAGAACACATGTCGAGGTTTTTAAAACAGGAATTTTCAACTGCAACTTAAAGTTGCTTCCAAATGTTCAGCTTGTTTTGTCCTTGCCTCCAACTTTTTGGCCTGTAGTCTGTATCGTATGGCTTGCTTGGAAGCACACCAGTGTTCCCCTGGAAGAGCTGGAGTGAAGAGGATGGGGACAGGATGTTCTGGGGATTTCTTTTGAGACAGTTTTTTTCTTTTTAACCTGGTCCCAGATCAGGAAGCAAAAGACAGAATCATACACTGCAAAAACGATCTAGAAATAAGTAAAAATTTCTTAAATTAAGTGTATTTACCCTTAATTTGAGTAGATAAATAAGATGATTTGCCAATGAAATTAGTATCTTTACTCTTATAATAAGATAATTAGATAATATGAACTTGAAATAAGACAATAGTTTTTTCTTATTTTAAATGTAAATTGCCTTGTTCCATTGGCAAAGTGTCTAACTTTCGTCATCAATTCGAGAAAAAATGCACTACATTTTAAGAAAAAATGACTTATTCAGATTTCCCTTTTTTGCAGTGTAATAACAATCCTATTTTTTTCATCACCTGATTCGGATTTGATCAACCGTTGAATGGTCATTATTAGCAGCTTTAGACTGCTTCCTCTACCTTCTAGTAAGTTTCTTATTGATGATAACATGCAGCTTTTCGTTGAGAATAGCCACATCGGCTATTTTATTCACTATTTACCTACTTTATACTTTTTACCTACTTTATTTATGTCCTACATTCTTTAAAAAACTGGTTTTAAAGCTTTACTGTGAATGAATTAAACATGTTTCAGTCACACAGATTTAATGTAGTGTTTAAAACCAACTCAGTTGACAGGATATAAGATTTTTGTTGAGGGGTTGTTCAATATGGGCGACATGCTAATCAATTTTTTTTTTTTTTTTTTTTTTTTTTACAATTGATGAAGAACTATTATAATTATGTTCAGAACACATAAATACATTAATTAATTCTGTGGGCAAAAAAGGAATTACTTTACGGTCAGGATTAGGATTTATTTGTTGATAACAATTAACTGAGCCTAGGTAGGAGGCACAATCGGAAGCTATTTTATGGGACTAATAACCGCTAATAAAAGCTGTGGGCTATGGGATGATAACATCCAGAGCAGCTGTTTTCATCAACCATAGAATAAGGATTTTTTTTTCCCGAGTAGCACTTCATATTGGTAATTAATACAAACAAAATATAAAATATGTTCTGCTAAGTGTTAGGGTTTGGGGGTTAGTTGTAACAAATGAATGCAGCCCGTCTTATCGTTGAGAAAGAGAAACATTCATCTTATGTGTTTTTGATGGGCCCCCTGTCCAAGTTAGAGCCTTGTTCACAGCAACAGATAAGCAGATCTGAACACAAACCTAAGAAATTAACTTATTAACTATTGGACTATAAGAAAATTGATTTCCACCCTCAGGATTTACTCTTAGGAAACCTGGAGCTGTTTGAAAGATTAACCATTAAACAGCTCAGAGCCATTTTTTTTTATCTGTCAGAACTATATGATGTCCAGCCTTTCAGATCTGAAAAAGATCCTTGCCTCTAAATGTGCTAATCACACTCAAGCAGAAAACTCATAGATTGCCTCACAAGAGCGTTAATGCAACAAAGCACCAAAAACAAAAGTCCGGGGCTTGCAAATTACTACATGAAGTGCATGTAAGTATTAACTCTTTTTCCAGGAGCTGTAGTTTGTTTTGCAAATCTTATTCACTTCAATTCACATACAAACAAGTAGCGTAGAAATTTGTTTCTTGTGATGCACTTTGAATGGTTTTTAGGACATTTAGTTTTTGTTTCTACTTTAACGTATCTATGCTATGGATCAGTATCAAGTTTATAGACTTAGTGTCACTTAGATACTACTGCAATTAAATAAATAAAAAATCTGTTAATGCCTGTTGTAAATGGAACGTATCACATTTATTTAGTGAATTTAATGAACAGTCAATGTGAATCAAATGGATTGCACTCCGCATTGCTGTCTAACTTTGTGTGAAAACCTCTAAATCGATCTGTTATAATCAACATGACTTCGATAACTAATACTGTTAACTGCATTGGGTGTGTATGAGAGTGCGTTTGCCCAGGCTTCATCCAAAATGCAATTTAAAAGCAAACATTGGGGATAAGGCATCTGAATAAGTTGTGAATTTGTCAGGTGATGAATCTTGCCTAAATGTTTCCAGGACTGAGAAGTATAAAGGCTTTGGAGCGATTCACATTGGGTAATGATTAGGGCTGCAACTAACGATAATCTGTCAATTATTTCCTCCATTAATCGATAAATAATCAAATAGCCAAAGGTTCCTTAGAGAAGATTTTTTTACAGAATTAGACCAGGTGAATCTTAAACTTTTCCTTTGGGTAGTCCTGGGTAGAGAATGTCGAAAGACAAAAAACATTTTTTATTTTATTTTAAAGGAAAAGTCCCGTCATATTCAGAATTCAAACTTCTGAAAGTACTTTGAATATGAAATTATTACATAATGTTCAATAAATGATGAGTCAGTCATTTTAATGTGCTTTACTGGAGGCACCCCTGTTTGTCCAAGAACACTACTGCCACCTACCGGTTTGTGACGTCATGGTGCGGTACCGGCTGTTGAGTCCCAATGCTGTATCTGGTGTTTGTCACAACGCGCTATTATCTAAGTCATCTTGGCTACATATTATTTGTTTTTTTCTCTGGCCAGAATTTTAATGGCAAATCTTCCCTCTTCAAATTGGAAATCCAATGACCAGGACGGTAGTAACCTGTCCGTGGTGGATCATGAATTTGAAAGATGAAATAACAATTGTTTTTCACTTTTAGCCGATGTATTACGACATCCAACTGCCATGCACAGGCCATGCAATGCCACGCATTGACAGTTTAACTATAGCTCTTGCAAATTTATATTGGGGACGTCCTCTCAAAATCTTAAATAATTGTTGATTGCAGGGGTGTCCAGTAGTTCCCCTTGATTTTGATCGTAAAGCGGGGAGAATTGCT